TATAACATGCAGTATACAGTTAATGTCTCCACCCTTTCTTCTGTTCCAGATATTGACGAGTGCAAGAGCACTGGCGCACTCACCTGTCCTACACATAGCACCTGCAGTAATACACAGGGAAGCTATATTTGCCTCTGCGGTGAAGGATACACGATGACCAGTAATGTCTGTGAAGGTAACAATGTCTATACCTTATCCTGTTTATCTTCTTTTCTTCTTTTGTCAAAATCTGCTTGTGCCGCTAGGCGTCGCAGTCTATCAGATGATCGGCAACCGAGCCAGGGCGCGCTCAGTCGCTTCATATGCCGTGATGTTATGAAGTCTCAAGTTGTCCGTGACTCCTTCAATCCATCTTCTTCTTGGTCTTCCCCTGCCTCTTGGTGTTTCGATTTTCATGTTGTATGCTCTTGATGCTGGCATCGTTGGTTCCATTCTCATTAGGTGACCAAACCATTTCATTCTTTGCTTCTCAATAAATTTAACAATGGGTATGGTTCCAATAGTTCTTGTAATCACATCGTTTCTCACTCGATCTCTTCTGGTTTTATTCGCAGCCATTCTCAAACATCTCATTTCACAGGTGGTTAGTCTTCTCTCGTGTTCTTTTGTTAATGTCCAAGTCTGACATTGATAACCTAATGTCGGTATAAAGATTGTATTTATAATTTGTCTTTTTATCTCAGCTGGGACCGCAGGGTGTTTTAAAATTGGTGCAAGCTGGTATGCGACATTGTTGGCTTGTTGGATTCTTGCTTCGATCTCTCTGTCTATTTTACCATTGGATGTAAAGATACTTCCCAAGTATTTAAATTCTTGCACTTGTTTTAGGCTGTGATCTAGAATCTTTATGTCGATGGTCTGTTGCTTTCTACTTATGCTCATGACTTCTGTCTTTTCAGTATTGATCTTCATATGATGCTTGAGGCAACTGTCGTGTAGTAGGTTTATGTGGTCTTGCAGCTGTTTACTATCACTGTGAAATATGCATTGATCGTCGGCAAAGAGCAGCTCATTGAAGTCCTCCTGTTTATCGACATCTGTTAGTGTTATGTCTATTTTATTTATATTGTCCATAAATATTATGAAAAGTAAAGGTGATAATACACAACCTTGTCTTACTCCTGATGTTACTGGGAACCAGTCTGTGATGCCAGCTCTTGTTCTAATGGCGCTTTCACTTTGTCTATAAATAGCCCTAACACAATCTAAAATTGTTCATTTATACCGTAGTTTTCAAGAACTTTCCATAATAAATTTCTGTTTACTCTATCGAAAGCTTTTTCTTGATCTATGAAAGCGATGTTCATTTGATGTCTGTGTTCTATTGTCTTTTCGCTAACTTGTCTTAAAGCAAAAATAGCGTCAGTACACCCTCTTCCTTTCCTAAATCCGACCTGTTTATATCCCTACAAAATCGACAGATCTGTCTTTGCCCTGTGGGTTGCTACCTGTAAGGTTACCGTACCCTGGTGAAATTTAACACATCTCAGTCTTGACAAACAACGCACAGATCTTAAGATCTTCAACTCTTGTGGGATTCCAGTGCCAACTTTTAGATACAAGACTTGGAAAGCAACAGTAGCTCTAGAAAAGAAGAAAATATATATAGTTTTGAGGACAAGTGTCTTAGAAGAAAACTGAATCTCCACTAGAGAGATTTCAGATCCAATACGAGAAGAGACCAAGCAAGATAATGTATCCAGTTGTATAAAAAAAGCGCAGCTGGAACTACATCGGCCATGCACTAAAAATGGATAAGACAAGACTCCCCCACCAAGCCACCATATGGACACCGGAAGGAAAAAGAAAACGGGGAAGACCAAGAGAGACTCTGCGTAGACCCATCTTTAGGGAAGGCTTAACCGTGGGCCTAATAAATATCCATGACCGAAAACAGATGACAACGAACTGTCAGACATGGAAAGCTATGACCTCTGCCCTGTGCGCTGTCCCAGGCTCAAGAGGAAAGACAAACTAACTAGCCAACTAACTAGTCTAGACAGCAGACCAACAACGCAGATCTCAACTACCCAGTTCATCCTCCAAAATATCAAACGTTGAATTAGGAATCGACATTATAGCACCCAGGACACTCCCATAAGTGCCCAGTCTTCAGCAGCAAGCAAGGAATTCCAATTCCGATGGTACCAGTAACCGTCTGATTTTTTTATATCCGTCTCATCCTTTCCCTCAGTGTTGAGCGGCGGCCAGATTCCCTGGTAAATCCTCGCAGCGCCAGTCGCCTTAGATCGTCGTTCAACATCCAAAGAAGGTATAATTAGGGCACCTGTAGCCGCTACACCAGCCATATGTAACCCCCAGTCCTGTACGACCAACATGGAAATAAAACGTGATGACATAAACTTCTAGAATTCGCTCCTTGAATTTGAATCAGTTATTTCATCAGTCGACATCTACACGGTGAAAGTTTTCTGCAACGGATCTTCAACAATCTCTGGCTCCAGGGTTGCCAGATAAAAAACTTCATTTTATGCCAAACCATCACCCAAAATATGCCAGAAAATTGCCAAATAAAGTGTAACATTGCACTCACTTCACATAAAAAGCTCTAGATTGAATTCTTCACTGTCATCCTCACTGGAACAAGTGGAAGATGCAGCATAAACCTTTTCGGATGTAAAATCTTTAAGCATTTTCTCAGATGGAATAAAGTCTTTGCAACATTTCTTTGATATCAATAGTTCTGCTCTAATTCTGACAACTGCATCAAGAAAATCCAGTTGTATTTTGTTTCTTGCTTTTGATTTAGTTGAAATAACAAGAGAGAATATTCTCTCAACTACAGCATTGCTAACGGGCATTATTAGGCAAGTAAGGGTGAAAGTGGCCGACTCTTTAAATGCCTGGTGTCGAAGTACGCCTAGCCAAAAATCTTCCGTTTGTAGGTAGTCCATCCTTCTTAAATGTAGCTTCTTCTTTCCAGTTGACAACAATCAGTTTTCTGTAGTGTTCTTCTATAATACTGATGTTGTTTTCTGCCAGGTGTAAAAATGGTAGCTCTGAAAACTGTGTCCTTGATATTTGATTTAAAACTGCCAAAAGGGCTCAATTTTGACAGATTTTGAAATATATTCTCGGTGGGAAGTCTACACGAAATTTGATTGAGAGCTTCCTCTAGCACAGACATGCATCTTTCATTAACATTGTTTATTTCTATCTGAACTTCAGTCCTGTTATTCTTCTGTAGGAACGCATTACATTCCGTTAGGAATTTAATACCAAAGTCAACGTGATGAATATTTTTTGTCTGCTTATTGAAGTCATACAGTCTGTTCTTAAGACGTTTCTGGTGCATGACAATTCTTGGTGTAGTTCATAAGGATCAGCTTTTGTTTGTTGGAAAGACTGTTCAGTCTTTCAAATTCTTGTACAATTGGTGTCGCAAACACAAAGTACAAATAATTATTGTGGTCTAACAGCATTTCCTTTAATAATCTTACTTTATATTTTGTGTCAAACGTTGTCTGTGCTAATTCAGCACATGTGAAATAAGCTTTCAATTCTTCCTAGTTCACCAACATATTGAACATAATCTTTCCACGCATAATCCACCTAGTAGATGACAGTTTCTCAAATGGAAGAGGAGCAGTTCGTTCTGATTCAAACTCCGTAGATGTGTTCATCACTCTAAACAGTTCTTTATAGGCTTCTCATCTTAAATCACTACGGCGCAACCACTGAGGTATTTCTGACAGTAAGAAACCAATATTTGATAGCAGCTTGGCAATTGTACTACAAATGCAGAGTGCTAGTGAATGGCAGACACATCTGAGCTGTACACAAATAGGAGACACATCTTTAATTCTGGACCATACAGAGTTCTTGCACCCGACCATGTTTAAAGCGGTGGGTTTTCGTTTTATATCTTGCATTTTTTCTAGTAAATTACCATAAATTACAGAGGTTTATAGCAGTCACGATCCGTTTAGGAAGACAACAAAACAATAAAAAATTGCGCGAATCTCCGTTAGTCCGTACCAGGACATCACAACAAAGACAAACTGAAATAAAGATTTCAACATTGCTTTTAGTAAATTTGCGTGTTTCTAACGGAGGAACCATGAAGAAAATGTGAGCACATCTTGATAAAAAATGCCAGGAAAAACCCAAATAGGCCAGAATATGCCAGTTCGTTTTATTATGCCAGTTCAATTTCAAATATGCCAGATTTGTGGAATCTGGCATAAAAAATGCCAATATGGCAACCCTGTCTGGCTCTGGTCCAAGCTTTAAACTCTCAGATCTCTTGAGCACCTACCCGCCATTTTTGTTCTTTTCCTTTTTTTTTTTTTAAAGTGCAGTTTTTCTCTTTATTTATGTGCATAATATCAATTAGCAATCACCTTAGCACCACGATCGGTCGACAGGCATACATGCTTTGTGGTGATGTTTACAGTCATATTTATTCTGTGTAAATTTCCTGAATTTCCTTCACCCCCACTCACATCTTTTCTTCTGCCTGCCTAACCCCCAATGGAGCATCGACCCTCAACCAACACACTCCAAGTCGTTCTATCCTTCGCAATTGCATGCAGCTCTTCCCCTGACACCCCCATCTTTTTTAGTTTTGCTCTCTAGCTTCCTTCTCCCTGTGTTGTTCGGTAACCACTCCCGCTTCTTTATATTTATTCCCCCTTTTGCTTCTCTCCCGCCGCCCCACCCCTTCACGCCACGATTATTAGCGCATTTGCTTGAAAAAAACAACACGTCACCTCTAACCAGAATCTCCATAAGGGAGACCTTAAGGTTATAATTGTGATTAGGTTACATACCTCACATAAATGGCTTAGCATTTCACACCACGAAAAGCCCTGAAAGGGACTCTTGCAGAGTTAATGCGAGGAAAGGGAAAAAGGGGAAAGGGGGGGGGGGGAAGCGATGTGCTTATGACCCCCACGTTTCGGTGCCATATAAAATGACGACCAAGTTTTTTTTTCTTTAATGCAATAACCAAGTCCCGTCAACGCCTTTGCTTCCAGATTTGGACGAGTGCAACAGCACTAGCACCTTCACCTGTCCTACAAGCAGTACGTGCAGTAACACCCCTGGAAGCTATATCTGTTTGTGTAACGAAGGATACAAGATGAACAAAACTGTTTGTGAAGGTAACGTTTGATTAACAATAGTGTTTGTGGAGACAATATTATCAAGAATAATTCCGTTTGAGAAGATAATGTTAGAACAACTCTCTGTGCGACGATAAGGTTGTTATAGATAGTTCTGTTCGTAAGGATAATGTAATCATTACAATGTTTGTGAAGGCACTTTTGTCATGAACATACTGTTTGTGAGGCTAATTTTACTAGGAACTACATTGTTTGTGAAGGTAATTTTATCATAAACTATAATGTTTGTGAGGGTAATATTACTGTGAATATTACATAACGTTATCAGCTTCACATTCTTTCTTTCTGTTGTGTACTCACTTTTACTCTTAGCCATACTGGTGTGTCCAGTAGCAAGCCATCTACTTGGCTGCTTCGAGATGTAAGCTAAGTGATTTTTGTATACTTGTGTAGTATTATTTGATTTATGTATGTGCTGATGAAGGTTCCATAGCTGCAACGTTCACGTTTTGTTTGTGTTTGTTATATTGTCAAACTTGTTGATATACTTTTTGTTCGGTTTTATATATTTTCTTGATAAAAGAAATCGACTGCAAACTCGTTGTTTTTGCATCAGTGGATAGTGAAATGATGAATGCTAAGGCAGATGCGGTAAAGGCTCTTGAACCACATAAAACAACGAATAGACAGACAGTCATGCTCTGCGCATAATGAACTCAAGCGAATTATCTAGAAAACGCTAGAAGAGAAGGGCAAGACAAACATATAAAACCACAGCGGATACCACTGATATTGTAACGTTGGGCCCGCAACTAAAGACGGAGACGTGCCTTGAACAGGGAGTAGTAATAGTAGTAACCGAGACATGCTATAGGATGCAGACTTGAATAAGAAGAACTTACTTGGGACCTTAGAAATAAATCTCTCTTATAAGAAATTCCTCTTATCATGATAATAGAAAAGAAAAAAGTAACAAAAATTGTCAGGGATAAACAATTTGTTCTTCACAACAAAAATTGGCCACATCCGAGATTGCATTAAGCGATGTGCACTAAAATTAATTTCTCACGCACAGTCGCCCTCCCCTCCACCTTTCTGTTCCAGATATTGACGAGTGCAAGAGCACTGGCGCATTCAGCTGTCCTACAAACAGTAACTGCAGTAACAAACATGGCAGCTATATTTGTCTCTGCGATGAAGGATACACAATGACCAATAATGTCTGTGAAGGTAACAAGGTCGATTACTTATCTTGTTTCTATTATGCAATAAGAAATAAAGAAGAAAAGAAGGGTATATATACTAGCTGTACCCGGCCACGCGTTGCTGTGGCCCAGTCTGGTAAAATTTAAAAGAAAGAAAAGAGAAAGCGGACGTGTCTTATATGTTTAATGTCATAATGCCTGTGGGCATACAACATTCTTTGTTGTTCCATTGTCTGTGTAGATATTTGCCGACTCTTGAACATGCAACATATAATTGTCCATGTGAGAAACAATCAGTGTCTAGATTTAAACCACACAATTCTACAGATTGGCCCTGAACCTTGTTGATGGTGACTGCAAACCCCAGTGGAATTGGGAATTGTAGTTTCTTAAATTGAAATTGCATATCCGATGGAATCATAGGAATCTTTACCCTTGAAAGGTCCTGTCAAGTTTGGAGCTTCTACGAAATTGTCTGGAATGCAGTGATGATAGTCTTCACCAATTACTAATATTTTGTTTGCTGGTCTGTAACTGTCCATATATTAATTAAACAACCCCTCGTCCCCATAACGAAATGTGTTATTATGTCTCACAGCTTCATTTAGATTTCTGAGGTCAGCAGTCGAATTTCGCCAACGAGCGAAAATTAAAAAAACTTGCCTCGGGAAAGCGGCAACGAAAAAACAAAACTAAGATGCCGATGTGATCGTCGCTGGTTCTGGGTAGTTGGTGCGTTGTGGACACTATATAAAAGCACGCGTGTATTCGAATGCCTCGTTGTGCCAAAATTTGAAAGCAATTGATGAAGAACTTTCAGAGATTAGCTATTACTAACAAAAAACTTTATGTGTGCTACTTACATAGATGGCTAAGCTTTGTTTAAGTGCTCAATAATAATAATAATAATAATATTAATAATAATAATAATAATAATATGCAGAACTGCAAAAATATTAATACTATATTTGATAGGTATGAATAGAATCCCGAAAGAGACACTCTAAACATGCTTAGGGATATGTGCTTTGCCTTCTTTTAAACTGGGGGAGGGGAGAAAGGGGATGGGGAGGAGGAGGAGGGGGAGAGGGTGCTGAGCTGCCCCTCGTCCCCTAAAAAAAATGTTTTAGGTGAAAGAGAGGGAAGGGGGCGGGGTGCTCTAGGTACCAGAGACTTCATGTTCTGGAGCCCCTACACCATGTTAAGATAGGAGTATGTTGTGAATGAATAAGTAATGCCCGCTATCTCCTTTCCCTCCAGATATTGATGTGTGTAGCGGCACTGGCACATTCACCTGTCCTACAAACACTAACTGCCGTAACACGCCCGGCAGTTATAGCTGTTTATGTAACGAAGGATACAAAATAAACAATACACTGTGTCAAGGTAAGATTATCATGAATGATTAGATTTGTAAAAGTAAGGTTATGATAGATTGTACTGTTGTGATGGTTATGTTATCACAAGCAATACTGTTTGTGAAGGTAAGATTATGATAAACTATACTGCTTGGGAAGGTAATATTATCATGGACAATACTGTTTGTGAAGGAAAGGTTATAATAAGCTAGACTGTTTGTGAAGTTAATGTGATCATGAACACTACTGTTTGTGAATGTAATGTTATGATAAACAATATTGTTTGTGAAAGTAAGGTCATGATAAAACTATACTGTTTGTGAAGGTAATTTTATCATGGCGGGTACAGGTAGTAAAAAATAATGTTATTACGAACACTTATGTTTGTGGAGGGAGTGTCATCCTTAACAATTATGTTTGTGAAGGTAATGTTATCATGAGCAATTCTGTTAGTGAAGGTAATGTTATCACGGATAATACTGTTTGTCTGAAGATGGGGACGAATCACTTATAGAGGTGACCCAGGTGCTGTGTTTTCAGTTCTTAACTCAACACAATACATTACAACATTCACACACACACAAAAAAAAACCGCAAGAGCTTGAAAGAATGAAAAAAAAAGTATACAAAATACTGGAACTGAAAGCAATTAGAGGTTTGCAATTCGTAGGGTTACGTTGTGTATTGATTTAAAGAAAACAGTTGTGGTAACTGGGGATTTATTACGTGCAAAAGATAACACCCCCCCCCGCCCCCCCCGCCCCGCCCCGCCCCGCCCCGACCCCTGCGACTCTTCTTTTTGCTGCAGACATTGACGAGTGTACCAGCACTGGTACATTCACATGCCCTGAAAACAGTAGCTGTAGTAACACAGTTGGGAGCTATATTTGTTTATGTAACCAAGGATACGAGATGAGCAATACAATCTGTGAAGGTAACGTGCTTAGTTCTTGAGCCTGGCTGTCTTGTCTCATCAGATCTTCTGAAATTATCGTTTTACATTAACCTGGTGTGACAATGTAGTTTAAAAGGAGTAAGAAGGAAAATTATAAATACACCAAGAAGACAGAGACTTGCGAAATAAAAACATAGGCCAGGGAAGCCGGGGTTAGAAAAACCGGTTGGGGGAGGAGGGGGGTAATAAACTAAAGATATTTGAAGAAAAAGACAACTTATAGTGCAAGAAAGAGGAAAGAATGAACGAAAATGGGCAGAAATGAAACATTACAAAGACAAATTGAAAAGAATTGTAAGAGAGACAGACACAATTAAAAGGGGGAAGAGACTTATAGAAAGAAAGAGTGATCGGTGAAAGGTAAGAAAGAAAGTGGAAAGAGACTGATGGACAGAATGAAACACTAGAACGTGTGGAATATGTAGACTGCTATCCAATATGTCTGGCAAAACGAATGCATGTATGAGAGCTGGAGAGAGAGAAAATGAGAGAGAGAGAGAGAGAGAGAGAGAGAGAGAGAGA